CCTATCACTGATAGCATTGTACTTCAGCATAGATCTTCAAATGTTTTTTTCTTAAAATTTTTTTTTTTATTGTACTTTAGATGAAGGTTTACAGAACAAATAGCTTCTCATTAAACGGTTACTACACTTATTGTTTTATGATATTTGTTAACCCCACGACATGTCAACACTCTCCCTTCTTGACCTTGGGTTCCCTATTACAAGCTTTTCTGTCCCATCCTGCCTTCTAGTCCTTGTCCTAGGCTGTTGTACCCCATTAGTCTCGTTTTGTTTTTTAGGCCTGTCTAATCTTTGGCTGAAGGGTGAACCTTGGGATGAAATGTTCTTTTTGATGATGAACGCAATGCCATTCCTCTTCAAGTTATCATTCCCGGCATAGAAGACCATATGATAGTCCAGTTCAAAATCACAAATACCAGTCCATTTCAGCTCACTAATGCCTAGGATATCGATATTTATCCATTTCATTTTTGATGATTTCCAATTTTCCTAGATTCATACTTCGTACATTCCATGTTCCGATTATTAATGGATGTTTGCAGCTGTTTCTTCTCATTTTGAGTCTTGTCACATCAGCAAATGAAGGTCCCAAAAGATTGACTCCATCTACAGCATTAAGATCAATTATACTTTGAGGAGGCAGCTCTTCTCCAGTCATCGTTTGAGTGCCTTCAAACCTGGGGGGGCTCATCTTGCGGCACTATATCAGACAATGTTCCACTGCTATTTGTAAGGTTTTCACTGGCTAATTCTTTTCAAAAGTAGACCGCCGGGTCTTTCTTCCTTGTCTGTCTTAGTCTGGAAACTCAGCTGAAACCTGTCTTCCATGGGTGATTCTGCTAGTATCTGAATACCGGTGGCATAGCTTCTAGCATCACAGCAACACGCAAGCCCCCACAGTATGACAAACTGACAGACAAGTCGGGGCATTGTATCTTAGTCTACTCTATTTCAGATGACTTTATTAATTCTTCTGGTGCAAACTTCACTTCCTAGTTCTTAATAACCACCACCTGAGTTAAAGAGAAGGCGCGCTGGTGGCACAGTGATTAAGCATAAAGATTACAGCCTTGAAAACTCTATGAGGGCAGTTCTACTCTGTCCTATAGGGTCACTATGAGTTAGAATCGACTCGTTGGCAAAAGGTTTGTTTGTTTGTTTGTTTTGAGATAAAGAGGAACTGGAATTATTTTCTCAGTTTAATAAATTAAGAAGGATCTAGAGCCATCAGAATGAGACTATAGCTATTGGATAGAAAAAAAAAAAAAAACATGTAGAAATAAGCTGTGCTTGAAATCAGGGGTCATAACAGTCACGAGGTCCCAATAGCTAACTTATAAAAAAAAAGACTATAACAAATTGACCCTGGAACAGGAAATTCAGGGGCCTTAGGTAGATCTAGGGAGCACTGGTAGCATAGTGGTTAAGAGCTTGGCTGCTAACCAAGAGGTCAGCAGTTTGAATCCACCAGCCTCTCCTCAGAAACCCTATTGGGCAGTTCTACTCTGTCCTGTGGGGTCACTATGAGTTGAAATTGACTCCATGGCAATGAGTTTGGTTTTTTGGTTTTTTAGATAGATGTAGAGAAATTGAGAAATGTAAATCCATGAGTGTAAACCCTGTTTCATTTCTGTCATTCATGAGGCTAGTTTTTCTGCTTCTATGTTCAAAACTCCTTGTAATCAAAGTTTCAGTGTCTACTTTTATCTGAAAGGTTAAAAAGGTTAAGACAGTGGGGATACAGCACTTCTCAAAACTTACGACTTCTGTGACATAATTCTTTTTTTTTTTGCAAAACTTTACTTCCTCTGAAACAAGTGAAAATTGATGAAAATTGTAGCAGAGGATTTCTTTAGAAACCCAACAGTGAAAATTATTAAAATGCAAATAGATGGTAAATGCCAATCTAATCTATAGGACCAAAATTGAAAGTGATACCAAAGGTACTTTGAATGTTGAAAGCAACAATAAGCAGCTTGTACCTTAAGTAATTTTAAAATATTGTCCATTACTATGTGTCAGAATCCCAGATTCCAGACTCTCAGAAGCTTATGAGACAGTAGATGTTTGTTGGTTTAAGCCACTATATTTAGGTATAATTTATTTATTACACAGCAATAGATAAATAATGCAGATTTTAGTACCTGAAAGTGAGGTGCTGCCAGTGCAATTTTCTGTGTAATACTGTAATGGTGGACATATGACATCCAGCGTTTGTCAAAACCCGCAGAACTGTACAACACAGTGAACCCTAACATGAACTAGAGACTTTAGTTAATAGTAAGCAGAGCTTTGAACATGTTAGTTCTTGTTAGAACCTCTGCTGAGAATCTGCATTTCTAACAAGTTCCCAGGTGATGCTAATGCTGCTAGTTAGGGCCCAATTCTGAGAACCACTAGTACAGCAGTGGTTCTCAAAATTTATTATATATAATAATCACCTAGGGATCTTATTAAAATGTAGATTCTGATTCAGTGTATCTATGGTGGAGAATGCTTGAACTGGTTCAAAGCTCAGCCACTAAGGCCTCAATATTGGTTCATCTATTGTAACTATGTATCACAAGAATGCAAAGTGTTTTAAGGAAAACAATGTTCTGGAGGAAGGCGATAAATGGGAACTTTCTGTACTTTTGTTCAATTTTTCTGTAAACTTAAAACTGCTCAAAAAAATAAAGTCTTAAGATTTTTTTTGTGTGAGCATAAAGTTATCGTGGTGGGTTAAGTTGTGCCCCCCCAAAATGTGTGTCAATTTGGGTAGGCCATGATTCCCAGTATTGTGTGGTTGTCACCATTTTGTCATTAGATGTGATTACTTTAAGTGTTGTAAATCCTAACCTGCACGTTAATGAGGCAGGATTAGAGGCAGTTATGTTAATGAGGCAGGACTCAATCTATAAGATTAGGTTGTACGTTGAGTCACTCTCTTTGGAGATATAAAAGAGAGAAGGGAGCAGAGAGAAGGACCTCATTACCACCAAGAAAGGAGGGCTGGGAAGGGACTTGGTTTTCTGGACCCAAGGTCCCTGCACTGAGAAGCTCCTAGACCACAGGAAGATTGATGACAAGGACCTTCCCCCAGAACTGAGAGAGAGAGAAAGCCTTCCCCGGGAGCTGGCACCCTGAATTCGTACTTCTAGCCTCCTAGACTGTGAGACAATAAATCTGTTAAAGTTATTGACTTGTGGTATTTCTATTATAGCAGCACTACATAACTACAACAATTATCTTCTGAAGTCTTACTACCCTTAGAAATGTAGTTCTAAAATGAGATTTATCAAATGGTCAACATCATTAGCCATTAGGGAAATGCAAATCAAAACCACAATGACAGATCACCTCACCCCGTAAGACTGGCAATGATTTAAAAAAAAAAAAAAAGGGAAAACAACAGGTGTTAGCAAAGTTGCGGAGAGACTGAAACCCTCATCCGTTGCTGGTGGGAATATAAAATGGTGCAGCTACTGTGGAAAAGTCGGGCGATTCCTCATGTGAAGGAGCAGTTTTCAAACGAGGAGTCTGGAATGGGTTGGGCTTCAGGCTAAGATGCAGGCCAGACTCCATGTTGATTATAAGTTTTGCTTCTGCTTTAAAAATACAGCCTTCTAACTCTCTGTAACTTTCCACTATACCCTGTAAATCTTGGAGATAAGAATGTGGTTATACTTGCTGAAACTTGTGGTCAGCCAGTTCTCAGAAGAATGTTTGCTCAGAATATTCTCAGAAAATCTTTTAATGTTTCAAAAGATATGTTTGTACTCTCTATTACATAACTGTTGCTGTTTTGTCCTATAAAGGCCGCCCTGCCTGTTTATCTTTTGGAGCATTATGAAGGTTATTACTTTTGATTTGCTTCCCAGTTCTGAACTGCCTAATTCACTCAATAAAACTCTGTGCTGTAATTTTACAGAGACTCAAGTTGTTTTCTTTGACACTCAGAAAGTCGAACATAGAACTACCATGTGACCTGGCAATCCCAGTCCTAGGCATATACTCAGAAGGCAGGAACACAGACAAAAACCTATATACCAATGTTCGTTGCAGCACTTTCACAATAGCCAAAAGGTGGAAACAACCATAGTGTCCATCAACAGAGAAATGGATAAACAAAATGTGGTATATACATGTACAATGGAATATTAGTCAGCCATAAACATAAGTTCTAGTGCATGCCACAACATGGATGCACCTTGAAAACATTACACTGAGCAAGTCAGTTGCAAAACGGCAAATACTATTTATGTTCTCACTTATAAGCAAATATACAGAAACCAAAGACTATTAACGGTTGCCAGGGGTAGGAGAAGGGAGAGAGGTAAAGTTTTGGTTCAAAGGGCATTAGAGTTTATGTTAATGGTGGTAGAATATTTTGAAAAACAACAAAAAAAAGTTGAGTTGATTCCAACTCATAGTGACCCTATAAAACAGAGCAGAACTGCCCCATAGGGCTTCCAAGGCTGCAAATCGTTACAGATGCAGACTGCCACGTTTCTTCCGTAAAGCAGCTGGTGGGTTCGAACCACCAACCCCAGGTTAACAGCCGAGTGCTTTAACCACTACATCAGCAGGGCTCCTATTTTGGAAAATGGTATTGATATGTGGTGGCACAACATTAAAAATGTAATCAATGTCACTGAATTGCAAACCTGGAAGTTATGTGGTTGAATGTTTTGGCATGTATATTTTCATAATTTAAAAATAAATAAAATGAGATTTAACTATATAGCCATTAAGATTTTATAAAACTGAGCAAAGTTTACTGAGTCAAAGTACAATCCAGAAACATGTAAATGGTTATATCTTGCCCTCAGCGTTTTCATTCACTTTTCAGAACTTAGCAAAATTTGTCTTCTTTTCCGAATGCAATCCAGAATATATCTAATTGTGACAGCTTAATTGGTATTTCAACTTGATAAAACACTTTTCTAAAATGTCTCCTCTTCTGAGAATAGGAAATTAAAAAAAAAGAAAAAACCACCAAACCATTAAGGCTTCATATGTAGTTTTTTAAAAAATAAATGTTTATTTTAAGTAGGAAAAGTAATGTTTAAACATTATCCAAAGCTTGTGTTCAGTTTAACAAGTAAAAAACAAGACTTCTGTTTTGTTTACAATTAGGAGGTACAAAACACTTGAGAATACATTTTGACAGTCAGTGGGTATTTTTAAAAAATAAGTTTTGCTAATGTAGCTTAAACAAAATATACTTACAGTGCCAGTTAAAATAAACAAGCCCTTACTGAGGAACTGTCCTTCCTCATGATGGATAGTTGGTATTTCAAAATAACATTCATTGTGAAGAATTCCTTTTAAAACAATGGTAAACCTGGTTCAACAATGTAGACGTTCAAATACCTTACGGTCTCTCCCTGGCATATACCATTTTTTAATGTCTGCCGACCTACAAACAAGGTTCGCAAGTCATTTTAATTAAGAAATTTCAATGAAGCATATATTGGTACCCATACTCTCTGACAGAGAAACATTAATTGTGGCAATTACAGCATCACGTCTCATAATTACTTTAAAGGACTGTTACCAAGGCTTCTGCTTCTCTTCTCCATGTACATCTTTTTGTAGGTTTGAAACATTGCTTTTGAATCTTTTACTGTGTTTTGTTGTGTCTCAAGTCCATCTGCGCTGACACTTCTCTTCGGTAGTTTGGATTTAGGCAAAACATTTTTATCTGGGGACACACACACAAAAAATCTCTGTAACTCAATGTTAGATGTGATCTATACAATCAAAATTAAGAGGAAAAATATGCATTCACCATCTGCGGCCGGTGCTTGGGATAGGACACTAGAGCAAGGAGCTAAAGTTTGACAAATTATAGTTCTTTAACTATGGAACTGTAAATTACACACATAGGACACATCTTACATCTCCTTTGGGGGCTCTTCTCTAGTCTTATCCCCATCATCACTGCCCAGGGGTGTTTGGGTCTAGCTTTACCCTTGCTCAATAAAATATCATTTGAGCACTTTATTATGCCCAGGATCTTTTTAACAGCTACCTAGAGCACAGGTGCCAATCAACTTACACAGCTTTACAGTGAGTGGGAAGGATAATTCTAATATTCTGGTCTGGTCTAATATTCTAAGACACAACTGCACTTTTCTGCCCATTTCTTCAGACTATTTCAGTATTGTCAGCCTCACTATACTTGTTTTGCTGGGCGTAGCTCTTCCTACTTCTGTGCATTTCTAGATCTGATCCTTCTTCTTATTAGCTTCTTTACCCTGCTAATAATTTCCATACTTTTCACGCCTGCTCTAGCCCTTCCTTTCTAGATAATGCAGTCTTGTTTCTCCTCTTTCCGCCTGGGTGGATCTTTGAGATGCTACAATTCAGTCAAGTATTCTGTCCTGTTACATCAGTATTTCTCTGCTTCAAACTCAAGTCTACTACGTCCTTCGTTTTTCATTTTTGTAATGCAGATGCCTAAGGTGAGTTTCCCAGTTGATTCGTATTAGATCTGTCACACTCTGCACAGATTTCTCAGCCTGCACCATTCACATTCCAATCTTTCCTATCAAATTTAAATGTACACTTATTTAAAAAGTTTTCTATATAGCTCTTTGGAAGCATGTGGCTTTTTTCTGGTCTCATTTTTGACTGATTCACTGTTCATCTTAAGTGTATGTTTCCTCTTTCACTCTTTCCCAGAGAGATACATCTTCCAGGGTCAGTTCCATTTGCTCCCAATATGCCTTTTAATGCCCACATGGCACCACCTCCATTTTCTCCCTTCTCAAATCAGTTTTTACCTATTTATATCTCATCATACTCTACAAAGCTCTATGACTATGTCTTTGGTTTGCTTTTCTCTCACCCTGCTTCAGGTTTTATTGGGCGTGTGCCCTGGCTTGTGTTTCTTTTCGTCATAACTCTGAATATCTCGCCTTAATTGTTTATTGATCTTCCTGTTTGTAGCTGTCATTATGCTTACCTCTGAGCCTCTCTCTTTGAGGTATATTTATGTCTCTCCTCTTTCCCCAACCCCCATGTCCAATCCCTCATTTCTACTTTCCTGTGTTCCAACCTTAGAGGTGATTCTTCTCCCTTCTTTCCATTGTTTTCCTGTTCTGATTAAGAGTGTCTTTCTTTAATACATCCTTGCTTCTTCCTACATGCATGTCTCAATCTCTACATGCCTGCTTATGTGTTGGGCTTTCTTCCCTGCCCTTCTCTCTCTACTCTTCAAAAATATGCTTCTGTTTATTGCTGCTTTTGTTGAAATTCTGCTTGTCTTCATTTTTAATTGACTCTGAACCCGTCTTTGTCTATTAGAGTAACCAAAAGACAAAACTCCCAAGCCCTAGCTTCTCTCAATGCAAACACACGAACAAAAAAACAAAGTTCATTCATTCCACTAATTAAATTGGACACTGAAAGCTTGTTTTTCTGGTTGATCTTCATCCCAAAACCCTTCCCTGCACACACATAAAAAAATTCAGCCAAGAGTTTTAGTCTCTCTTTCCCTAAATCATCAAACTACCTTTCAAATGTTACACTTAATGGACTTTAAAGAGGGGAGACTGGGTTCAATTCTTTACTGTAACTAACAATGTAACTTCAGTCAAATGATCTAACCTCTCATCTAATAAAATAGACTCTTTGAGGTTTAAATGAATACCATGTAAATCACCAAACCCAGTGCTTGGTAAACTACAGTCTGCAGGCCAAATATAGCCTACTGTTTTACTGGAACACAGCCAAGCTCATTCATTTAACTATTATCTATGGCCACTTTCCCACTACAATGTCAGAGGTCAGTAGTTCAGAGACCTTATAAATGTGAAACTGAAAATATTTACTGTCTGCTCCTTTGAAGAAAAAGTTTGCCAGCGCCAACCTCTTATCTCACCCGTTATTTAAAGGATTAGTTTCTTATAGATCACACTTTCGCACAACACAGCATGATAGAGTAGGAGAATGTCATTCCACCACTCATACACGCAAATACTGAATGACTGAAAAAGGGGTATGGATAAAATCATATTTCATAATAGTTTCACAATTATAATCCATCTTACATATAGCAGAGTGGCAGTATAAGCAAAATAAACATTTAAACAAATGATTTTACCTATTTTTTGGTTGGCTTCCTGCATCCTTTTCTCCGTATTAACACATTTTAGCCAGGCTTCTTTTGTACTTTTTATTCCTGAAACTATTTAAACATTCATTTTCAGATCTCAAGATACTGTTACTTATCTCTTTTAGTACAATGAAGAAAAATCATGTAAGTCTAAAATAGATTTTGAAAGAGACTAGTTGTATCCATTTGTAATATAACCCTGAAAAAGGACCTAGCAAAATGATTTCTCCTTCTCGAAGTGTTTTAAATCCCTTGATTTAAAAATTAGTTGCATTAAAAGTTATCTTCACAACATAATTGCTTCCCACTCCCAGACTGAATAAACACATTTCAAGATATTTAAGGGCACATGAGGCATAAAAATCCACTCCATTGCTCCACCCACTTCAACACTTCCCTTATACCCAAATTTTAAGAATCCAGTTGAAAAAAAGCTACTGAATCATTATTTTTAAAACATGAACTTTGTACTCAATTTCATCACATATCCCTATCACCTTCCAAGAAAATATATCCTGTTTATGTTGTAGCTTCATGCACAGACTAAAATTTCCACTCAAATCTTTAGTTTTCCAATCTCAATTTCTCAGCACAATGCTCTTTATATCTAATATCCATAACTCTTAAGTGTTCCCCTACTACTATAAATAACTAGCTAGCTATTTTCTCCCACCTTCCTGTACAACATTTTGAGAATTTTATTATTATGCTACCTAATACTCCTATTTGCTATTTTGCCTTTATACACGTAATTTAATACAGGACAATACTATTCCCACAGTCCTCCATTTCATGAGTAGAGTAGATATTACCATTTAAACTTAGATGCTACCATTTTAACTTTAGTGGTAACACAACTGTTTCAAAATGACAATAAGGTGAACCATTTCCACAGGAACAAAAAATACTTCATGAATAACCATTAAATATTTCCCAATATTTTAGAGCAAAATTACAAATTCATAGGGCTTTGAAATGACAAAGTCCAAAGGAGAATCAACAAAAGCCGGGCTCTTAGAATAATGTATACTGGCATATTTCTGACTTACCAAAAGAAATGTTTTATACAACATTGAGTTTCCTGGTATAAAAGAACTATTTGTATTCAGCAAACTGTACAATTTTACATACCTTTTGTCATTAACAATTTACTACAGTTTAAACAAATTTTGCCCAATGAAGCATCGATATACTGAGAACAAAAAGTAATGGCAAAATGCACTGAAATCTTTCCCAGCTACCAACATGAGAGATGCTAATGCACTTACTGAACTACAGGTAACGCTTTACAATTTTGCAGACACCATCAAGAAAATCATACCGGACCTTGTACAGGTGCTTGCTCTTTTCCAGGAGCAGGCTTCAGCTTCTTCCATTCTTCGCCAAAGTTTCTGTTCTCGAGTAGCACTTCTGGACACAACTTAAACTCCAGCACTGTCGGTTTCTCTGTGGCATCTTTCACAGGTATAAAACTTTTAGGTTTATTTTCCTGGCTCCTCTCAGTATCATTATTAGGCTTCCTGGGAGAATTGTCTAATTTTGAGAGACAAATGCTTTCACTTTCAGTGCATTTAAATGCAACTCTGTTCAGGTATTGTTTCCTTTGATCCTTTGCTTGCTGTGTCAACTGACTGAGTTCACCTTCATTATTTATATTGGTTAAATGTCTGCCTGTTTTGGTTTTATCCATCCATATTTTATCAGGTTGCTTTCCACCGACTGTTCCTTTTGCATTCTTTGAACTCTTGTGTACTTTAGCCTCCTCAGAATGGTGGATTTTGAGAGTTTTACCGTGGCTTGTTAAAATATTTAACGATTCTTTAGAAGTCTGTACAATGCTACCGTGTCTCTCATTTGACTTCCCACAACTTTCTACTCGCATGGAATGTTTAGTGGGCCTTATGTACTCAGAATCGCATGGCACATTTTTAATTTTTTCAATTACACAGCTTTTCTTTGACGCTTTGTTACCAATTGCTTCTTTATGCTTCTGCCTTTGTAAATATTCCTTCGGTGCCATAACTCTATTAATTTTACATGAAATATCCTTTGAGTCTGAGGAGTTAATATTTGAAGATTTCATTAAACTTCTGTGGATATTGATTTCCAGGTTTGTGGATTTTACTTCTATTGATACTGTCTTTTCCTTAATACTGGTTCTTTCATTTAAGTTTGACAAAGAATTACATAATTTGAACGAACTTCCTGCATTTTTATTCTGCTCTCGTTTATCATATTTCTTCTTCTTTCTCTCCATATCAAATATATTTCCTTGGTCTAACTTCCTGTTTTCCAGAAGTTTGTATCTAGAGCCACCTGCTCTGAATTTCAATTTTATCTTTTCTGGTGATATTGACTGTATCAAAGAACCATTCTTCTTGTATAGATCTTTATTTGTCAAAATAACTGTCTTTGCTTTTAGTGGACGTGAGTTTTGTGCCGTGTGTTTCTTCTGCAGGCTCTCTTGAGAATCTTGCTCACAGAATTTCATCAATTTACTACTGGAGTGAAAAGTTACCTCATGGAACTGAAGTTTTCTTTTTCTTTTGTGACTCTGCAAGGGATCTAGTTTTTTATCACACTTAGATGAAAACTGACTAGGTAATTCTTTTTCAGTCTTTAGTGAGTTACTATGTTTTGTTTCGGTATTATCTTTCATATTCTTGTCTTGTTTTATTTCAGGAAAACTATTTTTCCCATCTGGAAGAATCAGAGGAGTCTTCAAATCCTTATTTGGAGACCTATTACATTCAACACCAGGGATGTCTCTATCAGAGGTTCTCTCTCCTTGTTTACACCTGTTGGTCTCCAAAGCGGAACAATGATTTTTTTTTTCTTCCTCTGAAGCTGAGTTCTTCATGGAATTACATTGACACTGTGGTACTCCTTCATAAATCATAGAGAGCCAACCCAACGCACAGCAATGGATATCATCTCTCTTTAAGTTCGATACTACAGAATCATGACTTTCTCCTTCTGTATGTGCTTTTGGATCACACTGACTCTCTACTTTCGTGATAGGCTTTTCTTTCTGAGGTTCTGTCAATTTGTCTCCATCACTGGGTTGCTCATCCTGTTCAGGAAATAATTCTTTCATTTGCTCTGAGCTTATTATTGTAATTTTTATTTGGTCTGTTGATGTTGAGTCTTTGGAGTCACAAGAAGTTTTATCATAACTTTGATTTTTTACTTGCTCTGTTATTTGTTGGCCTGCAGAACCTTCACGTGAGTTTACAGCTTCAATGCCATAAGGAAACTCTTTTAAAAGTTCTGACAGCTGATCATGTAGGTATAAGAGGGATGTCTTATCACTGAAAATCTCGCTGCTTGTAGGATCTTGGGAAATATAATTGCAGGGTGCATCAATTTCTGGACTATCCTGTTGAATAGCAGCTGAACAATACATATTGCTAGTCATGATTTCTTTGTTAGTGATACATTCCAATTTGTTTTCCTCTAGGATTTCTCCATTTGCTTTAACATTCTTCAGTGATGATTCTGAAGGTGGCAGTGACTCTGGCTGATGAGTTATCTTAGGGGAAACATCAGTGACCTGTACAATCTTCTCTTTTTGAAAACCAAAGTTTTTATTTTCTGTGGTTTTATCTAATTGTTCTTTTTGTTGTCTACAACTAATTACTTGGTGATCAGGTAGACAAGGTTTCTGTGGCTCAACCTTATCCAAATAGGGAGAGTTGAATATCTTTGCTATTTGGGAATTATAAGATATATCACCTTCAACAAGAGAACAAATGTTGGCAATCTGTAACGTATCACCACTCACAACAGTACTTCCCCTTGATTCATCCAAGACTTGCTGATTACCACTCACATCTGGACAGATTAAGGTATCTACATTTGGGGAAGAGTGGACATGTGATTTTGATTTGATATGCTTTCCCTGATTGGTATTAGGTACACCTTCTAAATTACAGTTAGTTGACTTGTCCTGCTTTTCCTTCTGAATTAGTGGAGAAATCTTAGTTGATGATGTAGTACTTGCTACTAGTTCACTAACATTAGCTTTCAAAGGAGATACGCTCATATTTTCTGCCAACTGATCTTGTAAGCTACAAACACTACCTTCTTTAATAACTGGATACATTATTTCAGGTAATGCTTCAGGTGTTATTCCCTTGACAGATATTGTTTTGACATCTGAAAGAATTAAAGGTGACACTACAGCAATCTGAAGTTCTGATCCCTTTGTTGTATTTGCACCTGCAGACTCATAATTCTGCACTACCATTGGCAAAGCTGTTTCTTGTTCTGAGTTATTGAACATTTTATTCTGAGAAGGTCCTACAACTGCACAAGGACTCTTATCATAGACTTCTACAGGTTTTGAAATGTGACTTGTTGTTCTGTTTGTTCTCGACTCATCATGTTTTTCTTCTGTAGGCTCTGAAGGTGGCTTTTTCCACAGAGAAAGACATGTTGCTAGCAATTCCATGGAACAGTGACTGTCACTTTTAGAAGACATTCCATTTGTTGAGGGTTTATAATCAAGAAGACAAGACTTGTCTGAAGCCTTGGCATTTATATTACAAGTACTCTGAGTTTCCATGGTTTTCAGATTTGGTAGGTCACCAGAGATTTGGGTATTCTGATTCATTTCAAAACTCTTTGGTTTAGGATCTTGAATAGTTTCATTAACATTTTTTACTGATTCATTCTTAGTTTTCTCTCTAGGCATAAGGAATCGGAGTAGAGTATTTTTATTTGGATATTTTGAAACATATTCCTGAAAAAGCACTGACTGGGGGGCAGTAATTGTTTTAGAATCTGTTGATAGATTTTGGTCATCCCTGACATTTTCTGATGAAAGTTGGGTATTATTTAACGTTGTCTGGGTAATCTCAACAGTTGATGTCTTTAAAGAAGTTAGAGCTTGCAAATCATGAAATTGGTCTGGCATTGCCAACTTTTCTGAACAGTCAGAATTTAGTAAAATAGAATTGCCTTGGTTAGACTTTTTGCAATTGATATCATGAATGTTGGGATTCAATGTACAGTGCGTTCTATTTGCTTCTTCTGCAGATTTCATTACAGTTGATTGCTGACCCTCTGAAATCTCTGGAGTTACTGGGGTTACCTGTGACCCTGACTGAATTTTGGAAGTCTGTTTCAGAGACAATTCAGAATTCTGAGCTGATTCACTGTGAGAGGTATTAGTTGCTTTACTACATCCTGCTGCCATCAAAATATTTTGATTTATTTTAATTTTCCTTGCAAGCTCCAATAATTTCTTTCTTGTGTCTACTAATTTTTTAATATCACGCACTAACCCTTCTTTTGTGACATTTGTGTCCAGTATTGGATTTGAGGTTGAACTGCCAGAATCCATTCTTTTATCTTTATTATTCTGAGCAAAAGTCTGAACACCATCCACAAGAGATCTAACTGGCTTATTAGCAGGCTGATTTACACTGCCATTTACTTTCAAATTACAAAAATTTCCATTTGTGCTGACTTTGCCATTTACTTTCAAATTACAAAAATTTCCAATCGTGTTGATTCCTTTATTAGGGTTTTGCCACTGTTGCTGAAAGCCACTACAAAGGTCTTTCAATACCTCAGGTAAGTGTGTTTCTTGATTCTGAGGAACTTCCATTGGTGAGTGTTTACTAACTTGCTGAGTATTTTGCAAAGGCTGCCTTGCATATATACAGTCATAACTAGGAGGAGGGGGTCTATTATCAATTTGAGTAACTGCATATTGATGTGACTGTACAGCTGCATTCTGCTGTAACTGTAAAGACAGTGCAGGATTGGGAAACTGACTATTTTTAACTTCTAACAATGCAGATAGCATAGGGTTTCGTTTCTGAAGTGCAGTATCTTGCAAAAAGCCTTGCTGTGAATAACAGTATTGCTTTGGAAGTGAGCTGTTGTCTGGAAATATCAATCCATTAGCTGTACAGTGTTGTGCCCAGTCAACTTGTTGCTCTGACAAAGATGGGTTAAGCCCTTGATTTCCTTGGTAAGTTACAGGAACTCTTACAGAATTCGAAGGGATGGTTTGCAGCTGCAGAGAATAGGTATCTGATGGTATAAATTGATTCTGTAGTGTATTAATGTTAGACCTATTAGCTCCAAAACCAGTCTGATTAGATACAACAGTTACTCCAGTTTGATTAGATACGACAGTTGTTCCTGTATGAGAAAGCATAGGATTCCTCATTTGTGAGTTCAACCATGCATTTTGTGCAACTCCTGAAGACATTTGCAAATTGTGATTTAGTTGTTTCGGTCCTTGAACATTTACATATGTTTTTCTTTCTACTGAAGTTTGTGAGGCCACATTTGCCCCATTATGCATATCAGAAACAGAGATTTGTTGAGGAGTTGTATAATTTTTGATGTTGAGCAGTGGCTGTGAAATGAGATTTGAATTACTGGAATACATGCATGCTTCTTGGTTACTTCCAGGATAGTTGAAAGAACTCTGAGATGCTGAGGCAAGTGGGTTTATTAAAGCCTGTTGCAAAAAAGATGACTGGCTTTTAGGATACGATGATGGCATTGTAGCACTCTCTGGTTTTGCATTCCAATTCATTGTTGATTTGATGTAGCAGCAATATATTAAAAATCACTTGTTTGGAACATCAATAACCTGTAAGAATTAAAGATCTTGAATTAAAAAGCTGCTTTGCCTAGACAGAACTTCTAAGAAAATCAGTTTAACACTAATGCTGACTATATTGATCTTAATTTCTCAGAATAAAGAAAAACCTCATTCTTAATTAGGGGAAAAGAGAATAGCAATGAAAAATGCAACAATAAATGAGGCAAATGTCAATAAAATTCCTGGGGTGTTTAACGGGAATTCATTCTACACAATAGTTAGCATTTTTTGTTGTTGTTGTTAATATTTAAGTGACAATTACTTTCTGCTTTTACTTATTTCAGCTAGATCTTTATTCTAAGTAAACCATGCACACTGTAAAAAAAGAAAAAAATTCAAATACTACAAGAGAGAAGACAGTAAAAAAGTCTTTATTGTCCATCCTCAAGGGTATCCACTGTTACCTAACCCAAAACCAAACCCTCAGCCATCCAGTCAATTCCTACTCATAGTGACCCCACAGGGTTTCCAAGGCTGTAAATCTCTACAGAAGCACACTGCTGTATCTTTATTCCATGGAGCTGCTGGTGGTTATGAACCTTTTGGTTAAGAGTTGATTGCTTTAACCACTGCGCCACCAGGGTTCCTTTGTTACCTATCATTCAGAAAATTTCTATACATGAACAAATGCACAGTCATAAATAAAATCTCATCTTTTAGAACAAATGGAATCCTACTAAACACACTGTCTACAATTTGTTTTACATTTACTATACCTCAGTTATCTTATTTCATAAACATATATCTACCTTGTTGCCTACTTAGCTATCCCTTTTGTAGATATATACCATCACCTAACCAGTCCTCTACTGATGAACATTTGGTTCTCTTAAGTTTTAGCTCTTATAAATTAACCTACATCCTTGTATATACATTTTTATATTTGGGCCAAATTTTCCTGTAAATTCATAGAAGTTAAATCAAATTTTATATTTTGATAAATACTGACAATCTGGCTTCCAAAAAGGTTAAAATAATTTATACTTTCACCAAAAGTTTATTGACAGGCCTCAAAACAAATCCACAACCATAGTGGCAGATCTTAAAAGCCTTTTTCAGTAAATGATGGGAGGAAAAATAGATGATTTCTTTAATAAAATTAAAACAAACTTGACCTAATAAACATTAATAGTATAAACAACTGCAGAATACACCTTCTTTCCAAGTACACATGGAATGTTTTAGCAAAACTGACCAAATGGCTGGGACATAAAGCAAATGTCAAACTGTGAAGGATAAAAATAATTCAAATAACTCAGATTAGTCCACAGTGGAATTAATCTAGAAATTAAAGAAAAAATGGTAACTACAAAATGTCAAATAATTGGAAAATAAGCAATGCACTTCTAAATGACCTCAGGATAATTTATGGCATTAAAGTCATTTTTTTAAAAAGGCTAAAACATAATCTCCATATTTATTCTCAAGAAGTGAGAATAAAAACAGCAAATTAACCCAAAGAAAGAAAGGAAATGAAGATAAATGAAATAATAAACAAAACAGAGTTTCAACAAAGTCACAAGTTGGTTCTTTAAAAAGAACAATGAAATCAATAAGCTTCTGAGAAGTCTGATTGTAGGGGAAAAGAAGAAAAACAGAAACAGTTAATACTGGGAAATGAAGCTATCACTGTAAATCCTACAGTCATTAAAATAGTAAGTATATATTTTGAATAACCTTACTAAAAAGAAACTTCCTCAATTTTGATAAAAGGTATCTACAAAAATAGTCAAGGATGCTACTATCACCCCTTCTCTATTCAGTGTTGTACTGGAGAAGAAGCAAGCAGAGATGGGTGAAGACAGATGCAATACCACCACATGAAGATCACCAAAGAATAGATGCTGAAAAGACACAAGGACCTTCCCCCAGAGCAGACAGAGAGAGCAAGCCTTCCGTTTGAGCTGGTGCCATGAATTTGGACTTCTAGCCTCCTGTGAGAAACTAAATTTCCGTTAAAGCTACCCACTTGTGGTATTTCTATTATAGCAGCACTAGGTAACTACTAAAAAATTAAAAGATGCCTAAGTAAATGGAAAGACATTCTATGTTTGTGGACTGGAAGGCTTTATATAGTTAAGATGTCAATACTACCCAAAGCAATCTAGAAATTCAATAGAATTCCCATCAAAATTCCAAAAGCCTTCTTTGCAGAAATGGAAAAGCCCAATCTTCAAGTTTATATGGAAGGACAAAGGACCCTGAATAGCTAAAGCAATCTTGAAGAGATGAATAAAGTAGGAGGACTCACACTTTCTGATCTCAAAACATATTATATAAAGCTGCAGTGATTAAAACCGCCTGGTGTTAGCATGGAAACCCTGATGGTGTAGTGGCTAAGAGCTACTGCTGCTAATCAAAAGGTTGGCAGCTGGAATTCACCAGCTGCTCCTTGGAAAATCTATGGGGCAGTTCTACTCTGTCCTGTTGGGTCACTATGATTCGGAATTGACTCAACGGCAGCAGGTTTTTGGTTTGGTGCTAGCATAATAGACATATAAACCAATATAAAATTCAGTGTGCAGAAATAATCCATACATCTATGGTCAACTGATTTTAGGCAAGGGTGCTTCTTAGTTATCTAGTGCTACTATAACAGAAATACCAAAAGTGGATGGCTTTAACAAAGATACATTTATTCTCTCACAGTTTAGCAGGCTCGAAATCCAAATTCAGGGTGCTAGCTCTAGGGGAAGGCTTTCTGTCAGTTCTGGGGCAAGGTCCCTGTCATCAATCTTCCCCTGGTCTAGGAGCTTCTCAGAACAGGGACCCCAAGTCCAAAGGACACGCTCTGTTCCTGGCACTACTTTTCTTGGTGGTATGAGGTCTCCCTGTCTCTCTGCTTGCTTCTCTCTCTTATATCTCAAAAGAGATTGACTCAAGATACAGTCTAATCTTGTAGGTTGAGTCCTGCCTCCTTAACATAACTGCCTCTAATCCTACCTCATTAACGTTATAGAGGCACGATTTACAGCACACAGGAAAATCACATCAGATGACAAAATGGTGGACAATCATACAATACTGGGAATCATAGCCTAGCCAAGTTGACACACATTTTAGGGGACAAAATTCAATCCATAATAGGTGCTAAATCCGTTCAATAGAGAAGGAAGAGTCTATTCAATAAGTGTTGCTGTGAATATGGGATTTCCACATGCAGAAGAATGAATCGTAATTCATGCCTCACACCACACACAAAAACCAATCCAAAATGGATCAAGAACCTAAATGTGAAAACTAAAACCATAAAATTCTTGGAAGAAAATACAGATGTGTGGCTGCAGGACCTAGTTTTTACAACGGATTATCTGATGTAACAGCAAAAGCATGAGTAACGAACGACAAAGCAAATGAGACCTCATAAAAATTAAATACTTTTGTATATCAAAGGACTTTACCAACAAAGTGAAAAGACAACCCAAAGACTGGGAGAAATTTTTGGGAATCATATATTTGATAAGGGTCCAATATCCAAAACATATGAAAAACTTCTGTACACACACACAGAGAAATCTTTTTAAAAAATGGCCAAAGGACTTAGAAAGTTCACCAAAGAGGAGATTCAAATGGCCAACACATAAAATAATGCTCAACATTACAGCCATTAGGGAGATGCAAATTAAAACTATAACAAGATACCACCTCATCCCAATTTAGACGGCAATGATCAAAAACAAAACAGAAAACATAGGTGTTGGCGGGTTTGTGGAGAAACTGGAACCCTCGTCCATTGCTGGTGGGAATGTAAAATGGTACAACCAGCTGTGGAAAACAATTTGGCAGTTCCTAAAAAGTTGAACATAGAACTACGACAGGATCCAGCAATCCCAACTCTAGGTATATACCCAGAAATGAAAACAGGAACACAAAACAGAAACCTATACACTGAATGTTCACCGTGGCACTTTTCACAACAGTCAAAATGTGGAAACAACTGAAATGACCATCATCAGAGGAATAGATAAACAAAATGTAGTATATACACTCTATGGACTATTACTCAGCCATAAGAGAAATGAAGTCTTCATGTCACAAAACAGATGAGCCTTGAAAACATTATGCTGAGTGAAATAAGTCAGTCTCAAAAGGACAAATACTATATGATCTCACTTATACGAAATAAGCAAATATATAAAAATCCAAACCCTTTGCCCTCGAGTTGATTCCAACTCACAGTGACCTTGTAGGACAGAGTAGAACTGCCCCATAGGGCTTCCAATGCTGTAATCCTTATGGAATTATGGAAGCCAACTGCCCCATCTTTCTCCTGCAGAGTGGCTGGTGGGTTCAAACGGCCAACCTTTTGGTTAGCAGTCATACACCTAACCACTGTGCCACCAGGGCTCCCAAGCAAATATAAAGAAACCAAAAATTATTAGTGGTTACCAGGGTTGGGAGGGCAAAGGAAAGAGGGCATTGAGTTTACATTAATAGTGGTGGAATAATTTGGAAAAGGATAGCAATAATGGTTGCACCACATGAAGAATGTAATCAATGTCACTGAATTATACATGTAGAAATTACTTTGGTGAATGTTTTGTTGTGTATATTTTCACCACGGGGGGGAAAAAAAAAAGCAGTGAAAGATTTATTTGAAAATAACGTTTGTGCACTTTCTTAGGTATCTTTTGCTTTAATAGTTTTTATTTTTTAAAAACCCATCTGCTAACATTCATATTACCATTCTCACCCTTGTGAGAATCACGTCCTTCACACAAGTTATTGATAAAAAGTTGGAGGTAGAATGGGTCACAGTGTACTTATTGTAAGGAAAAAAACGACTGAAGAAGGTATACATTCTTTAGCTTAAACAGAAGGTCCTAAGAACAAAGACATGTATATTCCACACATCCCTTCTTCCATGAAAGCACCTTAATAAGACAACTGATTGATTGGGTAGAAGTATAATACAAACAAAATAGCAAGCAGCACTACTAAAGAGTGTTAACGATGCCTAATAAACCACCCCTAGTTCTTGGGTGTACTTGGGGGTGGGGCCTATGAGTAGGAAGAGAAAAGATCTTTGCATGCAGTTTGGAGTCATTTTTTTCTCTCCTGTCTCCTTTGTTGTCAAAGAAGAACACTAAAGCCTGGGAAAGCATCCTGAATTACCTAAATTAGGGAGAAGGAGAAAATGCAATAGGGGTTCAAAGTTTTCTTGTGACTGACAGTACAAATGTAGGCTATAAAAGATAAGAAGGGTAAAAAATCTGTAAGACTTAACAGAGTTTCACTCTTAAATACAATGTACTCCTAAAGAATTCTTAGACTTTTGAGACCACTTTGTAATGCAGATTACAGGGTTTCCATGATCCATCATACTATCATTATTTCTCCTCCCAAAAATTCTTTCAACTCTTTGGCCCTGAAATCTCCACACCCCCACCACTGCCCCTCCCTGTAGTACTCACCTGACAAAACCCAACTGTGGATGAATTTAACAATCTCCTTCCCTGTACAGGAGCGGCTGATGTTTCCTGGGGAAAAAAAAAAATCACACAAGCCCATGGACTGATTTTATTTCATGAATGCAAGTATCAAAAACATCAAACTCAGCACTGTGCAGCAATTCTATTTTCTTTGAGTAAATCTCCACCCCACCCCAACTTCTCCAAGACCTTTTCTCTCCTGCCTGATCCCAGCCACTCAAACTACACAAATACTCCATCTACTCAGCTGTCAGTATTTCAGAGTGGGGAAAAATGCCATTATCTGTCATCCTTCCACCACCAAAAATAAAATCCGACTCCTTGCTTACCTTCATTACAATGAGAGCTAATCTTCATCCTATCAAATCTCATTTACAACCCTACTGCCCTTCCTTTTACTCAGGTTATCAAACTGTCTCAACTAGATCTCTCTCTCTCTCACACACACACACATACATTCACTCTCAATCTCTATCAGACGTTATTCTGTGTATTTCTATAACGCTCTCAAACCACACAGTTATAAGTCACTCTTACGCATAACCGTCTAGTAGATTAAGACTCATAGCAACCCTATAAGACAGAGTAGAACTGCCCTATAGGGTTTCTAAGAAGCGGCTGGTGGATTCGAACCGCCAACCTTTTGGTTAGCAGCCCAGCTCTTAACCACTGTGCTACCAGGGCTCCATACATACATAAGTACTCATAATATGAACTTACAAACAGAAATATGTCTACTTCTGTGAAGCTCTCTAACTATTAACAGTAAATCATTACCAAATTATGTAGAAATTCCTCACTTTAAAAATGGAAACATAGAAATATGTGAATGTGGTAAACAACCTTTATTTATTTTTATTGTGCTTTAAGTGAAAGTTTACAGTTCAAGTTAGTTTCTCATACAAAAATTTATATACACTTTGTTATGTGACCCTAGTTACTCTCCCTATGACAGCACACTCCTCCTTTCCGCCCCGGATTTCCCGTGTCCATTCAACCAGCTCCTGACCCTTTTTATGCCTTCTCATCTTGCCTCTGGACAGGAGCTGCCCATTTAGTCTCATGTATCAACTTAAGCTAAGAAGCACTCTCTTCATCAGTATCATTTTATAGTCCAGTCTAATCTGTGTCTGAAGAGTTAGCTTCGGAAATGGTTTCAGTTCTGGGCTAATAAAGAGTCCGGGGGCCACATCTTCCAGGGTCCTTCCAGTCTCAGTCAGACCACTAATTCTGGTCTTTTTACTAGAATTTGAGTTCTGCACCCC